TGACAATAACACACAGAAAGATCACACAAGGAGAAACCCATGAGCATTGTGAGTGTCTGGTTTCACATTGTACTCCCATTGAAAGGTTCTTGTCTCTCTTTCAGTTTTGGATGGTTAGAAAAGTTGGAGTTTTAGGTTCTGTTACAGCTTCAGGTGACTAGGAAGTGTATCTAAGAGTTTAGGTAAAGTGTGTGACATCTGGCAGTGTAACAACTTCCAGCTTCAAAGCAGAGGGGATGTTTTCTGAGATGTAGGGGGTCCTCTAATCAAAAACTTGTACAGTTTACCTTGGTTTACTTAATTAAGTTGTGGGGGATGGCTAGTTGTGGGATTGTCAATGAGCAGTTCAGAAACTAATCTAACATTTTGTAGCCAGACACAAAAACTGTTTTTACTCTTTCCCTCCATAAACTGAAGACAGTCCCATATCTTTCAGCAAGCTAGTGAATATATTTTAAAATCCTCCATTCACTTTAAGGTGTCTTTGTAACTATGCGTAGTTTAGGACCTTGTGCAGACGGTATAATCTAGAAGTGACTGGAAAAGGGCTACGGGGAAAACACAGTCAGGAATGGAAGGGATGGCGAACAGGGCGCGGTTCTGATGGTTACCAGGTGCAAGGGGGGAGCGCAAGTAAACAAATCCAAAACAGTCCAATGTAGGAATTCTGGGGCGCAGTCAAAAATCCAAAACCAAAGAATCCATCCAAGACGGAGCAATTAAAAACAGGGACATGGAACAAGGAGATTAAAAATGGAGTGATGAGGCCAGGAGCTCCGAGCCCCGGACTCAGCTTGGTCAGGCGACGTTAGGAAGCCTATACCCTCAAGCCGCGGACCTGAGGCAACTGGATGTTAGGTGGGCCTCCGGGTGTCCATCTACCAATGTAGAGCCCCGAGGTTCTGGAGCACCGGGTTTAAATAAAGAACAGAACAAGGGGGCAGGTGAATATGATAATGAACTTAAAACAAACGGGTCGGCGCACCCTCTAGAGGAGGGATGACGATCGTGACAGTCTTACAGTATGTACAATGAAACAAGTTTGTATAGATACAACAGAGTGTAGTTCCTACACATCAAATAGTGTAGACTGAAATTAATCTTTGAAGAAGAAATGTTCTGAGAATTTAAACTAAGGAGTTATGAAAGCTAAAAATAAGCAAGGCTGGTTAGTAAAATCCGTTAGAAAAAGTTAATGAGGTAATCTGGCAGTGCAACCTTAACAAAAATAAATAAAGCATTGTACTGTAGAACT